GCCTCTTGTGTATTTCTTACTGATACAATTACAAGAAAAAAAAATTAACTTCAGTCCTTAAATAATGTTACAATTCAATTCTATTTTTAGTTTTTGTTTTTTTATAAATGCTACATATAGATGTAAAAGGTCTTTAAAATATTATTTTAAAATCCACCTACCTACTCTTAAATTAAAAAAAAACAAAACGTAGTAGTAGTGATAAATAGGGGTCAAATAAATGCATACTATGCAGAACAGACAGAGATTTTTATTTATTTATTTATTTTAGTTTAATAAAGTTTGAAAACTTTCAAAGCTCCTGCACAATTCCCTTAATACCAGGTTTGGCAAAACTCTAATTCTGTTTGAAAAGGTGTTTTTTTTTAAAGTAGCATATTTGAACAATGTCTAAGTATGTGGGGTGCAGAGAATCCATAGCTGAATATCTTCATAAAGCAAGTTCTTAAAATGTGCAAAGCTATTAGGTTGGTGCAAAAGTAATCACGGTTTTTCTTTTGCCCCAACTAATATTTACCACTGAATATGCTGGCATTTAGATCACTTCCTTCTTTTCAGCGTGCTACACGGTAAAGAGAATGGGCATGAGGCGGCAGGAAGAATGAAAGAGTGAAGATAATGGAGTTAGGTCAGTGAGGGACATTTCTAAATTCCCCTCTTCTTTTCCTCTAGTATTCTGGGAAACGTCTCAGCAGCTATCATATAAGGAAAGTATCTCACTAGGAGAAGCAAAGAATCAGAAATAGCAGGGCATGGAGAGAATGCAGGAAGCAGGCCAGGGTAGACAAGGCTGGGGAAAGGGGGCCCAGGGAGAAAAACCTAGAATTGGACAGGACGTTTCCTCTGCTGTCTGGACCTTCTTTTTATAAGGTTGTTAGAATTAAATTTCATTTATACACAGAACTGAAATGATAGGCGGCCAGATGATGAAGTCCTTTTGTCTCTGATGAGGATTTATTCCCCTCAAAATTCTGATAAGGAATTCCCATGCTACAAATGTTAATTTGCTCCTCTACCTATGCCTCTGAGAGTCACGAGCCACCAAAGGCCAAATTTACCTATCTATGTTAAGGGCTTTATGTGAAATGAAAGGTGATTTACGGAGCTGACCACTTCCCAAGCAGCCTTACTTAGACTCAATCTTAAAAATTCTCTGGAGGGCTCACAATTGTGACTGCCAGTAAGTGGTGAGGTCCATGTAAGGCTAACCTAGACTCTCCAGTTGCTCTTGGAGTGAAGATGCCTTGGTTTAGGTTAGGGTGCCAGATCTGTATGCCCCAGGGCTAAGCAAGAATCTGATTTTCTCTCCTCTCTTCACCTAGCAAAGCAACCTGGACGGTCACACTCAGTCGCGTAAGGCAGACAAAGCTTAAACCAGAAGGTCAGGTAAACACTGAAGGGGCATGCGACAAGGTCCACCTACAATGTACTTCACAGCCAAGCCACAGTGACTAATGAAATAGGCCAGATCTGCCTGTGGAACACTGTTGTGAATGTTTAGCACAGAGAGACAGGAAGGTGGCAATGAGGTGCAGCAAACGCCAGAGGCTGGCCCGTAAAGGAAAGTTGTGGGCCAAGCAGTGTCGCTGGAAAAGGAGTGGGTGGCAGAGCATGTAGTAGTGATTGTACCCTTCAAATAATAACCTCCATACACAATTGAGTCGGTAGAATTTGTTAATGTAAGAAAAATTTGGGGAAATTCATATAATTGTAATGGGCCCAAAGTATTGGACTAGAGATAAGAATACACTGAAACAACAATATACACAGACTCACATGCTTACATGGACACATTATTTTTCATTTTAGCTTCTTACATCTTCCTTTCCTGACACCACAGCAGCACACGGATTAGAAGGTTCTAGTAGATTCCAGCAATAAAATTCTGTATGCTACTCAGAAAATATATGGCTAGTGAGATAGCATCCCTGTTCTCTCCTACTCAGTTTACGTATTCATGAACAGTGAAAACTTCAGAAGCAAACAGGTATCAGATAGCAGTGATCATACCAAGAAATGATACAGGAGACTTTCACAGACTTGATTCTAAACCTAATCCTAACTGATAGGGTGCTTTTCATCACCTCCATTCACATCCTCGCACGTCCACAACAGGCCGGCTCAGCTGCGTCACAGTCTACCGTGGGAATATGTCCAGGGGAGTCCATGGAAATGAGTGGCTGGAGGCCTTGAGTCTGGGCACCATCGTCTCTTGGAACTGTGTCCCTGTAGAGAAGGCCCTTTCCATCATCAGGCTTAGCTGGAAACTCATCCACTTGGAGGGGACAAGGCAGGCGTGGCTCGTCAGAACTGGAGGAGGAGGTTGTGGGGAAGCCTTTTGCCTCTCATTGAGTGTGTTACACAGCATTCAAGCGGATGTCCCCACAAGGAATTTCTGTTGGTGTTTCTGGGGTGATACTTTTAATAATACGCTATTGGGAAGAAAATACAACGTTATAAACGTTCTTGTAATTTTTAAAACTTGCAAAAATAGTCAACATTAATATTAAAACAAAGCTTAAATAACACTTCAATAACATCTAACAGCGAGTTGGAATTTGACTTTCCTTAGGAAAAGAATTCCCAATTTATTTACTCTCAAATATGAATTAAAATGATATATTTAGGAACTATACGCATCTGTAAACTAAGAAAATCATTATAACACTAATGGAAGAAAATGATGAGCCTTCAATAGAATCTCTGATGGCCAATAACACGCTTTTGAAGGACTTGGGAAAGGGTACACTTTTCTCTGGACAGAGGAGGCTTCTGCGGCCACACAGGGCTTGGGGAGCAGAGCAATTGCTGGGTTTTGGTCCCCATCCCCTCACCCAGGCTCCTTGTCCCCTGCAGACACACTGCAGCCATAGTGCCCAGTGCTATCAGCCACTGTAACAGCCAGGATGTTACTAATTTAATGAATTCACCTGTAAAGCAAAACTGGTTAGTTCATACAAGAGTGTAAATTATCACATAGTTAAATTGTAAAAGATGCGATGATTGAAATCATCACTTCTAATGCAACATTGTGTTGATGTAGTACTCATCACAGAGAAGTGGCTGAGAAGGTCTACTATAGAAACAGCTGAGGTACACAGAAGCTTTAAGATGGATCCGAAACATACTTAGGCTTAAGTATGAAATATACAACCTGCCTTGTAAAACTCAGCATCAGAGTGGCAAAAAGCAGCTCAGGGATATGGAGAAAAAAAAACAGCAGCACTGCCTGCAGAGGCTTCGAAAAATCTTTATTAAGTGGCTTAATAAAATCTTTTTTGGCCAAAAGTCTGTATGTATCATAAGCAGACAATTTGGATCTCAAAGCATCCTTTGATTTACTGATCTTTAGGCGAAGTTCTGCTCCTGTCATTTTTATTTTGGACTGAAAACGTCTGGAGACGCCTTCAAGCTTTTCTATTTTCTCTTTCTGGGAGTTTGCTGTTTAAGGAATAGGGCCTATAAAATTCAAAAAGTTCCAGTCCTACAGTTAATGAAATGCACTATAGGGCAAAATGCACAAAATTGCACATTTTATGCTCCTCATGACCTTAGTATCTGCGCACTGAACTCTCACTAGAAATCCGTTTTAAAAGGAGTCATTGCAGGGCTTATCAGCTGCCAGAGCATGCCGAGTCACGGAAAGCAGCCTTTCAGAAGGCACACATTCCCACAGATTAACATGTGAACTATGCCTGACTCAACAGAATGATGACTTGTTAGTTGAGAACTAGACAGAGATCACTATAACGAACCTTTTTTTTTTTTTTTTTTTTAGAGTCAGGATCTTGCTCTGATGCCCAGGCTGGAGTGCAGTGGCACAATCATGCCTCACTGCAGTCTTGAACCCCTGGGCTCAAGGGATCCTCCTGCCCCAGCCTCCCAAGTAGCTGGAGCTACAGGTGCATGGTACCATGCTCGACTCCTAGAACTTGTCTTAAGTGGAGCTATCACCACAGCTCAGAGAGAGAAGAGATCACCGAGGTATTTGGTGGGACAAGGCCAGCAATGAACAATGTTGTAAAGTCAAACACTTGGCTTTTGTGCCCTAACCTACCCACATGGTCTGCCGCCCTGTTGGTGACTGACCACCCAGGATGCCAGGCCCACGTCTGTTTTCCTTACTTTGTCAGTATTCTAGTTGCCAGGCCACTGCTGCTCTCAAAATTTGCCAGGCCCTGGCCTTCTGCAAGATGATAACAAGTTAACGTAAGAAATGGATTCCTCTTGATATCTTCATAAACGTGTACTCATTAGGGACCATTTTCCAGTATCTTTGTGTGGATTATTAGTAGTTTCTGCAAAAATGACCTAAGCCAGTGGATGACTCCAACACGAGACTTCCAGGCTGTGGGTATGTGTGATAGCCTTCAAATTACACCAGTAAGCGGTGGCTCACTCCACAAACGCCAACCTTGCATATGGCCAGGGCCCGAAAGGATTTAATATGAGGCTTCCCTCCCTCACAGACAGAAAGTTACAGACCAGCAAGTCTGGTATTCATAAAGAATTGTGAAGAATTCTAGACCTTTGGCAAAAAAAAACACAGCAATGCTTTATTCTCAGAGATTAAACATGCACATGGGCATATTTTTGAGAAGTTTTTTTGAGAAGTCCTGAGGTAAACAAACCCGTTTATTTATTTATTTAATTTTTTTGAGACAGAGTCTCACTCTGTTGCCCAGGGTGGAGTGCAGTGGCTCGATGATCTCAGCTCACTGCAATCTCTGCCTCTCAGGCTCAAGCAATTCCCACGCCTCAGCCTCCCGAGAAGCTGGAACTACAGGTGCTCGCCACCACGCCCAGCTAATTTTTGCATTTTTAGTAGAGACGGGGTTTTACCATGTTGGCCAGGCTGGTTTTGAACTCCTGACCTCAGGTGACCCATCCACCTTGGCCTGCCAAGTGCTGGGATTACAGGTGTGAGCCACCATGCCCAGCCAAGAAACCTGTTTAACTTGCCTTAGTCCAGCGTCTCCAAAAATTACCTGACTACATAAACTTTTTCTCCAGCAATAATACCTGTGACAGCCCCTGGAACACACTTTGGGAAATGTTAATATGATCGAATGAGCACATTTGAAAGATGAGGAAACCGAGGCCCAGATAAGATGAGTGTCTGCCAGAGCCGACTAGGGCCTTTTCCATGGTCCGCACTGACAGGGTGTATGTACCACACTGCTTCCGGGTAACCACTGCTCCCCGTCTGGTGGTCCCTCATGAAGACTGCCCTACCTACAATTAGTCTTACCTCTACTGCTAACGGATCTGAGCTCTGTTAGTGACACACTTTTGGGTGGCATTCCCTTGTGGCCAACTGGGGAAATTTGTGAGAAAGATGGCCAGGATCTGAGGTGTAGCCTGTGACTGAAGAATCCTGACATTTACTAACCTAACACGGTTCCCACCTCCAACCTTGGCCTCTGGATTTGAAGCAACAGAGCTCATAGACCATCACAACTGCCATGACGGACGACCGGAAGGAATGCGTTCAGTGACTCTGGGTAAGAGAGTGTGCAGGAAGCAGCACGGGGGCTCAAGGCTCTTTGCGGGGAGTGCAGTCACGAGAGGGCTGCTTTGGCTCTAGGAAATTAGTAACTACAGAGCTCAGAGTTCTGTTCACCCAGAATTCAGTTTTCCTGTTTCCAAAAAGAAGTGAACCCAGTTGTTCTCAGAAAGGGCTGATGTTTGGCCGGGTGCAGTGGCTCATGCCGGCAATCCCAGTACTTTGGGAAGCTGAGGCAGGAGGATTAAGCTCAGGAGTTTGAGACCAGCCTGGGCAACACAGTGAGACCTTGTTTCCATTAAAAATTTGAAAAATTGGCCAGGCGCCTATAGTCCCAGCTACTCAGGAGGCTGAGGTGAAAGGATCCCCTGCGCCCAGGAGTTTGAGGCTGCAGTAAGCCATGATTACACCACTGCACTCCAGCCTGGGGTACAGAGTGAGACCTTGTCTGAAAGAAAAGAAAGAGCTGATGTTTAATTGCCTGTGTTCTCTTGCTTCTCATTTCTTATGAAATGTCTTGGGATGACTACTGTGATGGTCTCATGTCTAAATTTTGCTGTAAGATCTCAAATTAGCCCACCCCTGGTCTCAGGCTATTATAGATTATGCTGAGTAGCTGGGACTACAGGTCAGTGCCACCATGCCCAGCTAATTTTTGTAATTTTAGTAAAGACAGGGTTTCACCATGTTGGCCAGGCTGGTCTTGAACTCCTGACCTCAAGTGATCTTCCCGCCTTGGCCTCCTAAAATGCTGGAATTACAGGTGTGAGCCACCGTGCCCGGCTGGAAATAAGGAAACTTCGAGAGGATTATTCCCCACCTCCGTGTCCTTGTCTGATAATAATGCCTGCTTGTTTACCTCCCAAGGTACTCTGATAACAGAATAGGATACTTGACATGCAGATGCTTTGAAAATGGCACTCATACAAATTGTAAGGTACTGTCATTAACGTTTCTACAGCGCATTCATTGCTGAAATGAATCTTGCTATCCTGGCAAAACATTTTTACTCCAATGGTTTGAGCTAAAATTATGCTATTGTTAGATAGCTAACAATTTTGAGCTAAAACTATGATACTGTTGCAACATCCTTATTTTGTGATGATTTTCAAAATAGTACTTGTCACATTGCTGTTAGAAAAGTCACCATGGACATTTCCCACCACAATCGCCACTCAAGATTTATGTATTGCTCCAGACATCACAGATCTGATGTCCATGGCCAGTGGCAAGCAGGAGGCAGGGGAGTTGCCTGACAAGTTTGAAAACCTACGCATAGCCCAAGCTGAATGCTCTGGTGCACCCAAATGATCAGCTCACTCTTTTACCCTTGCACTTGAGGCTTTGGGAGATGCCTTAAGATGACAGTGACAGCCATGAGAGGTCTTTGCTATGGCACAGGTACATACATATATAGGGTTGCGTGCCTCCTGGTGAATCTCATTTTGAATAGAGGATAACAAGAGAATCCTTTTCTCCCAGAACAATTAGCAGTCTGAACACACACATATACACACTAACTAGCACGTACCTCCTTAAATGTCCCTGGAGTGCTGATCAGCCGATAAGCTATGTATGTGGGGATGCAGACGAAAGATGAGGTTCCTATGCAGTAACCCAAGATGATACTCCAGTGGGGATAATTATATTGGAAAAGTCGTAGCTGTGGCGGGCTCATCAGAAAACTGCAAATGATGAACTAAAACAGAAATTCCAAGAAACATTAAAAACCTTAACAATACCCACGCAGATAGAGACATTTCCGATACCATAAACACCAAACGCTAAAGGTAAGATACTTTCAGGAAATTCCCAAGATGTGATATATCCTGGATTGAACTCTGACACACAGAATTACCAGCCTCTGTACCCAAGCTGCAAGACTAAACCAGCCAGGTGCTTTCCCTGATTTTCCTCCCCAGCCCTCACTTCCTATAGGGGGATGTTGCAGTAGCCCTACAGCTGCCCCTACAGTCAGGGAGCCTGCAGCTCCCACTTCAGGACGGGCCTCTGCCCAGGCGAAGAGACTGGCAATCTTGAGAGTGATTTGGGCCTTGTCTTGCCAGAAGGCAGACGAATAAACTGGGTGACCTCTCTGTAGCCCCCGCCAGGCCCCGGGCTTCCTCTGCTTTGTTTTCATTGCCTTGCGTTTCTGGCTGTGGTTGTTTTTGGTCAGACGGAAGGTGCCTGATGTCCAGGAAAGATAAGAAGGTTCTCAAGACCCAGAGAGGACTCAGGCTCCTGGGGGTGTGCTCCTTCTCTCATTTTCTTGAGCTCTCTGCCTTCTGCATTAAGCTTCATCGCCTGGGATTTCAAGAAAGATAGCTCTGCCGCTAGGCATCTCAGCAGTGAATGACTGCCTGCCACAGGTACTCATCGTGAAAGGAATTATGGAAGGAAAAAAAGCAGCTTAATACACCTTTCACTTGAACATACTGTGAGAATTTTGACCAAGAAAAATTTCACAGTGTGCTCCCAACACCCGTTTTATGAGTTTTCTTATTTCATTGGTTTCCATATTTTGCTTAGTACCACTGTGCCGAAATCGTTATTGCTCTTGATTTAATTGTATTTTATTATTTCATAGTCATAAAGAAGACAGTAATGTAAATTATTTGTGTGGTTAAACATCTATTTATATCTTTTTTTTCTCTGTCTGCAGGTAATAAAATGGGAAATTGCTAAACACACATCCATCCTCTGAGCGGTGCTGTCTTAAGTCTAGGAGGAAGCCTTCAAAACAGGAGCCTGGTCAATTGCAAACCTTCCTCCTAACCCACGCTCCTCATCCCCAGAGCCGGCTACGGAGGAAGATTGGGAACAGGGAAGGAGGATGTAGTTAGGAGTCATCCCGGCTAATTGTCTCCTAATGTGTATGGAATCCCACTCAGTCGTCGGGGGCTCGACCTCTGGCTGGGGCAAGTGCTACTTCAGAAACCCCCTCACACATCCTGGCTTCTACTCATGCACAATATTTTCTTTCCTTCAACTTGGCTGCAGTGAAAAAGAATATTTTTAGTAAGCTACTTGTTGTTTACCTAAAGCAGCCTTAAGAAGCCCAAAGCAGGGGACCTGTTAAGTAAACGCAAAAGCGGAAGACAGATGTGCCTCTCTCAATCAGGCACTACGGCAGTTGGCTGTAGAGGGGGTGAGTATGGCAAACATCATGGGAATTGTGAGCAACGCGCCCACATCCAAAGCTGCACGTGGGTTTTACTGGGCAAAGAAACGCAATGACTGTGTACCAAGAGTTTACCCAGTCTGACAGCCAGAAACTGACAGAAATGAACAGACTCAAGTCCCAGAGCACATGGAGGCACTCACCTCAGGCACAACATTTAAGCGGGAGCCAAAATCAAAATAAATAATATTTTATTACAGTTTTTTAAAAGACAGGATCTAACAGGCCAGGTTAGGGTAAAGCGAGTGAGGTAAGACGTACAAGTACAGGGCTGGCCCCTGTGTTTATTGAAAATGTTGATATTTTGTTAATCATGGATCTTTCAGAATTAATTTGTATTTTTAAAAAATATTACATTAAAATAATATTCATCATGAGTACTGAGCTCTTTGGTGCCTTCTTAAATTTTATACCCACAGTGAATGTTTTACTTGCCTTCACGTCTCCCTAGACATCATTTCCTCACTGTGGGGGGAATAAATATGGAAGTAAACACACAAACAAACAAACAATCTTTCTGCCCTCAAGGAATTAATCCAATGACTCTTCTTCCTTTGAAAAACAAATAAAGGCCGGGCGCGGTGGCTCAAGCCTGTATTCCCAGCACTTTGGGAGGCCGAGACGGGCGGATCACGAGGTCAGGAGATCGAGACCATCCTGGCTAACACGGTGAAACCCCGTCTCTACTAAAAAATAC